TACTAGTTATGACGCGATTAAGAATGCGGTTCTCCACTCATTCCGGCTAACTCCGGAGATGTACCGGAAGCGGTTCAGAGAGTGTACAAGAGCGTCGGGAAAGACTTACGCCGAGACCGCCAGGGATATGGAACGGAAATTCCTACGATGGTTGAAGGCGGAGGAAGCGGAGTCGGTGGATGATGTTAAACGACTGATAGTGATGGAGAAGTTCATGTCGGTGCTCCATCCTGAGTTGCGAGTAAGGGTGAGAGAAGCAGGTATTAAGGACCTGAAGGCTGTAGCGGATCGAGCCGACATGCTGGAGGAGGCACTACATATCAGGAGGGAGGGGCCGCCCAGACACTCGCCTTACCCCAGGTCGGGAGGGAACCTTAGGAGTTCAGGAGGAGCGAGGACGAGTGGGGACTCTCCCAAGAGTAGTGTGCCCGATGAAGTGACGCGGTTCAAGAGCTCAAGAGACGCGGGGAGGAAGCCCCAAGCTGTGAGCAGTGGACCTAACTCGGGAGCAAGTGCTGCAGTCCCGGATACGACGACAGGGAGTCCAAGGAGGACCCAGGGAACGTCTGCAAGTGGTACCGCCAGAGTGACTAGCGAGTGGCCGCCCAGGGGAGGCAGCCGATGCTACAACTGTGGCGTGAGAGGACATTATGCCCGCGAGTGTGAGGAGCACCAAAGGAATGTAGGATTAATGTTGGAAGAGGAGAGAGTGTTTGTTCACACCCCATATCATAGTGGACCCAACGTGAATGGTTGGGAAATGAAGTTGGGTGAACATCCCTTCGTTTTCGGGGCCAACGTGAAGTTTGGAAAGTCAGACCCAGTGGAGGTTGCCGTGCTTCGAGATACGGGTGCTGACATAAGTATGGTGACCAGGAGTATTCTCCCCAAGGAATTTAATGATTCACCTGTGGGAGTGGTGAGGATACGCAGTGTGGGGGAGGAATACAGGTTGCCACTTCACGAAGTACAGCTGATTGCCGACTGCGGAGTCGAGAAAGCTATAGTAGCTGTAGCCCCTAAGTTACCCCTAGAGCATGTGCAGATGGTGCTGGGTAATGACCTCGGAGGAGGCAGGATACAACCCGATTGGGCCAGGAGTGCCTATGTTGCAAGCAGCGGTACAACCCTGCCAGGTGAGGTATCGGTCGTTCCAGATGGTGGTGAGGAAGCCGACTTCGCCAGGGAAAACGTCGCCAGAGACGACGACAACGAGGGCGAGAGTGCAGAGAGGTCGTCGGAGGTTGTGGAAAACCCCGACGGGGACCTCCGACTAAGCCTGATGATGCGTGTGGAGGAGTGGCGAGGAGCAGCTGTACAAACGCCTGGGGCGGTGAGGAGGCTGCAGACCGCACTCCCTCCATACAGAAACGTGAATAAAGTAAGCTCAGTGGATGAGCGAACGGCAGTGAGGGGCAGAGTGGAGGAACCACGACGCAGTGCACCCTATGCCGGCCAGATGAATAGTGGTAGGTGCAAGATGAACCACCGTGGTGAGGTGAGCCACAGGGAGGTGGATGAGCCCAACCACGAACCGAAGAAGACGTCTGCAGGGAAGAGAATCTCATGGAGGAGTGAAGATGTTCGTCGGGAACGAAGGAGCGAGTGGTATAGGAAAGGCAATACGAAGAAAGCAGGGAATAGGTACACCCAGGGTAGGCGCCAGCCTAACCAGAGGGGCATTGGGCCATCACAAAAGCCTAGTGTGGAAGAGAGGAAGCTGCTGGATGGAGTACAGGTTACAAGTGCCACTGTGAGGAGACAACGCACCTACGGGAGAAGAGGAATCGAGAAGAGAGAAGATTGGCGAAGAGGAGATCATGAGATGAAACATGGAGTACCTGTAGGACGCAGTGGAAATGCAAGACTATCTCGGAGTGCACGACGCGGTGGAGGCGCCGCATGCACTGAATCTTACAGTGGTAACGAGCCGTGGGAGTACACTCGTAGCCACGGAGAGGGGATTTCTTGTAGATGTTCAGGGAACACCCATCACACCCGGTACTATGCGAGGTGGAGATACAATGAGGCAAGTGACTGGCAAAGTGGTATGAGCCACGTCACCAACTGGAGGAGTGACACTTCAGGAACGGAGGGAGCAAGAGTATAGGTTGCCCTCTTGAGTGCTGCTCTTCCGATATGACTCTTATTTTAAGGGGAGGGGTATGTTACGGTGCCCTCTCCTATTTCTTTCGTTTGCCGGCTTAAAGAGTCATATCAGCTCTCCCTACTGATTCTCTGAGGTTCAGGGAGTCTAATGATATATGTGGCGACCAGACCGGCTGCCATTTAATGGAAGGAGGTTATATTATAAGTTGTAAATAAAGGAAAATTGGCGCCCTGTTATAAAATGAAACAGTATCCCCTACGGCAGATATGACCTTTTGGAAGGGAGACAAGCCGATCGCGGATTGGCCGACGTAGGTCGCGGGCGACAAATCAGGGCCCGCCATGACGTCACCGAGTGCCCCGGGCGGCGCCAACGTCAGAGTTGTACTGACCGTGGAAGCGACAGGACGCGCCTCGGTCTGCTCTCAAGGATTGGAGGCTCTGCAAGCCTTGTTCAGTGGATTGAGCTGGCCTTCGCAGCCCATCACAGTTATTGGAGGCCCTGCGCTTCTGGGAAGCCAAAGAGGAACCAAGTTCAGTGAGCAGAGAAGTGCCAAACTTGGAAAATAGTCGGCGACGACGCTGGGCGGCGCCGCTGGCTGGACGTTGAGGTCTGAAGGGTGGGCAGGCAGGCCTAGCTGTGACTGGGGTCACATCCACTGAGAATCTTGGAAGGACGACACCGTGCCTAGGACAAGGAGCAACGCCCTGTGGGAGAGGCCAGTGTGGGGAAAAATAGTGATTAGCTCAGCGCCCATCGATGAACCAGGATTGGGGCAGCTGAATCTCAGGGATTGGAACGGCGACGACGCGAAGGCTTCACGACACCTGAGGACCTGTGGAACGTCCTGGATCGTCGAGGATCGACCCAAGGAAGCGTGGGAATCTCACACCATCGAGGGACAGGCGTCGTGAGCCAGGAGTGTAAGGTAGATCATTTTTCCCTCCCATTACCCCTTGTATGAGTAGGCTAGTTAGGCCACAATATTTACTTGTGTATGTGGCAGCAAGACTTTATTACTTTAATAGTAGAGTAGGCTGCAAAGCAGCTTGTGTCCAGGACTGTCAGAGAGGACAGTGTGTATGGATGGCAGGACAGTGAAGAAGAGGTGCCGACGTGGTGAAGAGGCCCTCTTGTGAGAGTGTGAGACTCCTGTCTTCCTGCCCAGTTGAAGGAGAGTTGGAGGTCGTGGAAGAAGAGGCTGACGATCTCCAGATTCATCATCCATATTCCATATTCATGTATTACTTGCGATTGTGTGTTCATGTAATTTGCATCAGTAAATCCACACATTTTATTACTGTGTTTGAGTGTGCCTCCATTTATGATATTTCTCTATGAGCATACATTTCTGGCTACAAACAATATATAATACACCCACTGAACTGCATTGCTGGGGTGCAGATATAATAACCCAGCTGGCGACCTTGCTAAGAGGAAGATAGAGAAGACAGGTGGGAAAGGAGTTCCTGCAACCTTTTTTTGTCTGGCAGGCAAGACTCAGGGAGGTTATGGTTATAGGTAAGCCTGAGTCTTCCTTCACTCCCCCACGGGTCTAGGCCGGAACTGTTAACAGCAGTTTCCCCGTGTTTGACTGAAGGGCTTCCAGGGTGAATCAGTGGCACCCCTTTGTGGTGGAAGCAAAGACCTGCGGAGGTGGGCATTGTTGGTCCTCTCTTGTGTGACCAAGGAGACTCCGGTGAATCCAGGGAGTCGGAGGGGCTGAGTATTTGGGCCTTTGAGCCCCTAGCAACCGAGTGTTAGCAGAGCCCCGGACCGCCCACCCCCACGTGACATCATATATAATGAAATGGGTAGCTTTATCATTTCATAAGAAAAAAAATTGAGAAAATATATTAATTCAGGAAAACTTGGCTTATAAGGCAAATCGGGCCTTGCATAGTAGGCCGAGAAGTGCATTCTGGCTATCAGGTACGACATATATATATATATATATATATATATATATATATATATATATATATATATATATATATATATATATATATATATATATATATATATATGTCGTACCTGGTAGCCAGAATGCACTTCTCGGCCCGATTTGCCTAATAAGCCAAGTTTTCCTGAATTAATATATTTTCTCTAATTTTTTTCATATGAAATGATAAAGCTACCCATTTCATTATATATGAGGTAATTTTTTTTTATTGGAGTTAAAATTAACGTAGATATATGACCGAACCTAACTAACTCTACCTAACCTAACCTAACTTATATATATATATATATATATATATATATATATATATATATATATATATATATATATATATATATATATATATATATATATATATATATATATATATATATATATATATATATATATATGTGTGTGTGTGTGTGTGTGTGTGTGTGTGTGTGTGTGTGTGTTCACAGGATATGTGGAAACTGGTCAAATTTGCATTTCACCTATGTAAATGCACATTAATGACACTATGTGAAAGACACATCGAACACTTTATGTAGGGCAGACGTAAATCTGTGTATGTATGTATTTATGGATATAGGTTAGATTAGCATTTTTAAAGCACTACAATCGTCTTTTGTCGTTGATTGTTCAATAAATCCCTGAACTATATGTTTAACAGATCTCTCACCCTGTCCATGGAGGACAGAAGAAAATGTATATATGCTGATTAGCATTGTAAATGTGTGGCCACGTCTGTGGTAGAAAATAATAATAAAAAAACTGTTTAGTATGCATACAGATAAGATAAAAGGTAGTCGATCATTACTACACAAAACTTGCACTTACATCCACCACCCGCCACACAACACTTACCTCCACCACCCACCACACAGCACTTACCTCCACCACCCGCCACACAACACTTACCTCCACCACCCACCACACAACACTTACCTCCACCACCAGCCACACAACACTTGCACTTCCGTCCTTTACAGCCAGTCCTATACACGCTCTCACCCACCGAACACAACGTCTTGCAGGACCCTCCACGCTTCTTGCACTTGCTCTTGGTTTTGCAATCTGTTGATGAAGGACAGTTTTACAACATACAATATCATGTGTGTATATAGGTAGGCCTCCACGGCAACCTGTCCTCTTAAAAAGAACGTCGCTTTTGGCCGTTTGCCTGTATGGCCGAATATGGACGTAATTTGAAAATGAAAAAGAATGAAAATAAATTTGGGATTTTTTTTGTTAACAACAGTAAGTTAAGGGTCCTCTGATAGGTTAGGTGGGCAGGAAATTCTCATAAAGTTTCAAAACGTTATGAAAAACGTCAATGGAAAGTTTTCTTTTCTAAGCTTGCCGAGTAAGCCGGACGACTCAAACAGAAAACGGAACAGTACGTCACTTTTGTGAGTCGATTTCATTTCAAATTACGTCCAAATTTGGCCATAATGCGCATACGAGCCAAAAGTGACGTTATTTTTAAGAGGAAGGGTTGTGGAGCCACCTTCCCCATAGTCACCTCGGGAGACCAGACACTACTCTCAGTGGTCCTGGTGCCTCTTGCACTTGCTCTTGCTTTTTCAACCTGTTGATCAAAGACAGTTTTACAACATACAATAATATTTGTGTATACAGCTAGACTTCAACGACGTAGATAATATCGTCACCTTCCATTATTTTGGGAAACCAAAATATTACTTACAGCGTTTTAATATATTATAAAATATTACTTTATTGTATAGATAAGATTATGTTTTTACCTTTTATTTTGATAGCTTTAATGTTTACATTTTCTTAGTATCTGTGAGCTACACGATTTGGGTAAAGGCAAAAATCACACAACAGGAATTTAATATTTATGCTGAATTATTTCACCTGACCTTACCTGCAGCAGAGAGATACTCTCAGCTGACCTAGACCAGAGAGAGATACTCTCAGCTGACCTGACTTAGGCCAGAGAGAGATACTCTCAGCTGACCTGACTTAGGCCAGAGAGAGAGAACCTTAGTTGTTCTGACCCGGAGCAGTGAGAGAGACCCTCAGTTGACCTGAGTGCCATCAATGATCATTAGTGTACAACAATAAATCTACGACAGTGAGAGACGGTCAGTTGACCTGACCTATGTCACACTTACCGTCTGCTTGCCGGCCCCAGGTAAGATGGCCACAGGTTAATTTATACTATATTATTAGGAGGCAGAAAGCCAGTTTTCAATTTATTTAGTTTTTAAGTTCCTGCAGGAAGGATAAAGCAGCCTAGTCTGTGATTCAATATAGCGGGCGTCAGGCCCGTTGATTAGAGAATTCTCGCCAAGATTTGTGGAAGGCGACGACGCTGGACTCCCCGGATGTGGAGGAATAAGAGGACTGGTTACATGAAAGTTAGATTTAGCCAATGGAGTAGTGACCTAAAGTCACGTGATCAAAGAAGGGGCCCCGTTTGCTGCTTCACAGGCGGGCGGGTAAGCCCTCTGTCTCTTATCTTCGTGGAGGGACGAATTTTACACGTGCACCTAGGCTGACAAGAGAAACGGCGATGTATTTATCTCGGTGACGAAAGAAATGGCCACTATTCTGCTGCCTTATGGTGATTCTGTAACCACCGGACGATATAACGGGTGTATAGTGCAGTAAACAACTGCTATTCTGTGGATAGAATCAGTGATGTGCCTTTACAACATCAGCAGGTAATCAGCTAGTAACAGTGAACGGTGCAACGTGACAGTGAGTCTAGAGAACCAATGTAAGGGCCGTTGCAAGCCATGGTCATCCAATAATTCATTATTTAGAGTGATGAGCAGTGTGATACCCTGAATCAGCGGGAAAAGGGTCGGTCAGGGTCACACCTCTCAGTGGATCCAATTGTAGAAATTTTACAACACAGGAAGCAGTTCCCCGGTAGCCTTATCGCCAGGGAGTGCCGGGATAGTCTGCAGTTCTCCACTCTATTACCCGGCCACCTTGAGCAGCACAGTGTGGACAAGATATGGGTGAAGCACGAAGACGAATACCCCGCAAAACACCAGGACCGGAGAAGCAACGAGCATGCAGGCAACAGAGTAGTCTACCCTGGATAACTCTGGGGGTAGCGAGGTGCAGCGACAAAGCGCCAATTGTAAACCTGGTAGAATAAATCTGGCCCTCCTCTTGTAGTAGGCTGTGCCGAGAAACGAGAATTTATTTGACATGACTATCTACGGCCACAAGTAACATTTTAAAGTAGTTTTCTGGAAAATGATAATTCTGTGTCAGTGCTAATGTTCATGGGTGTCACCAACATGACTACAATAGTCTGGGTGTCACCAACATGACTACAATAGTCTGGGTGTCACCAACATGACTACAATAGTCTGGGTGTCACCAACATGACTACAATAGTCTGGGTGTCACCAACATGACTACAATAGTCTGGGTGTCACCAACATGACTACAATAGTCTGGGTGTCACCAACATGACTACAATAGTCTGGGTGTCACCAACATGACTACAATAGTCTGGGTGTCACCAACATGACAAGAATAGTCTGGAGTGTCACCAACATAACAACAGTGTGGGGTGTCAGCAACATAAGAATAGTCTGGGTGTCAGCAACATAACAACAATAGTCTGGGTGTCAGCAACACAACAACAGTCTGGGTGTCAGCAACACAACAACAACAGTCTGGGTGTCAGCAACACAACAACAATAGTCTGGGTGTCAGCAACACAACAACAATAGTCTGGGTGTCAGCAACACAACAACAATAGTCTGGGTGTCAGCAACATAACAACAATAGTCTGGGTGTCAGCAACACAAGAATAGTCTGTGTGTCAGCAACATAACAACAATAGTCTGGGCGTCAGCAACAAAACAACAATAGTCTGGAATGTCAGCAACATAACAACAATAGTCTGGGTGTCAGCAACATAACAACAATAGTCTGGGTGTCAGCAACACAACAACAATAGTCTGGGTGTCAGCAACACAACAACAATAGTCTGGGTGTCAGCAACACAACAACAATAGTCTGGGTGTCAGCAACACAACAACAACAGTCTGGGTGTCAGCAACACAACAACAATAGTCTGGGTGTCAGCAACACAACAACAATAATCTGGGTGTCAGCAACACAACAACAATAGTCTGGGTGTCAGCAACACAACAACAATAGTCTGGGTGTCAGCAACACAACAACAATAGTCTGGGTGTCAGCAACACAACAATAGTCTGGGTGTCAGCAACATAACAACAATAGTCTGGGCGTCAGCAACAAAACAACAATAGTCTGGAATGTCAGCAACATAACAACAATAGTCTAGGGTGTCAGCAACACAACAACAATAGTCTGGGTGTCAGCAACATAACAACAGTCTTGGGTGTCAGCAACATAAGAACAACAGTCTGGGTGTCAGCAACATAACAACAACAGTCTGGGGTGTCAGCAACATAAGAACAACAGTCTGGGGTGTCAGCAACATAAGAACAACAGTCTGGGGTGTCAGCAACATAACAACAGTCTTGGGTGTCAGCAACATAAGAACAACAGTCTGGGTGTCAGCAACATAACAACAACAGTCTGGGTGTCAGCAACACAAGAATAGTCTGGGTGTCAGCAACATAACAACAATAGTCTGGGTGTCAACAACACAACAACAACAGTCTGGGTGTCAGCAACACAACAACAATAGTCTGGGTGTCAGCAACACAACAACAATAGTCTGGGTGTCAGCAACATAACAACAATAGTCTGGGTGTCAGCAACATAACAACAATAGTCTGGGTGTCAGCAACATAACAACAATAGTCTGGGTGTCAGCAACATAACAACAATAGTCTGGGTGTCAGCAACATAACAACAATAGTCTGGGTGTCAGCAACATAACACCAATAGTCTGGGTGTCAGCAACACAAGAATAGTCTGTGTGTCAGCAACATAACAACAACAGTCTGGGTGTCAGCAACATAACAACAATAGTCTGTGTGTCAGCAACATAACAACAATAGTCTGGGTGTCAGCAACATAACAACAATAGTCTGGGTGTCAGCAACATAACAACAATAGTCTGGGTGTCAGCAACATAACAACAACAGTCTGGGTGTCAGCAACACAACAACAACAGTCTGGGTGTCAGCAACACAACAACAACAGTCTGGGTGTCAGCAACACAACAACAACAGTCTGGGTGTCAGCAACACAACAACAACAGTCTGGGTGTCAACAACACAACAACAACAGTCTGGGTGTCAGCAACACAACAACAGTCTGGGTGTCAGCAACACAACAACAGTCTGGGTGTCAGCAACATAACAACAACAGTCTGGGTGTCAACAACACAACAACAACAGTCTGGGTGTCAACAACACAACAACAACAGTCTGGGTGTCAGCAACACAACAACAACAGTCTGGGTGTCAACAACACAACAACAATACTCTGGGTGTCAACAACACAACAACAACAGTCTGGGTGTCAACAACACAACAACAACAGTCTGGGTGTCAACAACACAACAACAACAGTCTGGGTGTCAACAACACAACAACAACAGTCTGGGTGTCAACAACACAACAACAACAGTCTGGGTGTCAACAACACAACAACAACAGTCTGGGTGTCAACAACACAACAACAACAGTCTGGGTGTCAACAACACAACAACAATACTCTGGGTGTCAACAACACAACAACAACAGTCTGGGTGTCAACAACACAACAACAACAGTCTGGGTGTCAACAACACAACAACAACAGTCTGGGTGTCAACAACACAACAACAACAGTCTGGGTGTCAACAACACAACAACAACAGTCTGGGTGTCAACAACACAACAACAACAGTCTGGGTGTCAACAACACAACAACAATACTCTGGGTGTCAACAACACAACAACAACAGTCTGGGTGTCAACAACACAACAACAACAGTCTGGGTGTCAACAACACAACAACAACAGTCTGGGTGTCAACAACACAACAACAACAGTCTGGGTGTCAACAACACAACAATACTCTGGGTGTCAACAACACAACAACAACAGTCTGGGTGTCAACAACACAACAACAACAGTCTGGGTGTCAACAACACAACAACAACAGTCTGGGTGTCAACAACACAACAACAACAGTCTGGGTGTCAACAACACAACAACAACAGTCTGGGTGTCAACAACACAACAACAACAGTCTGGGTGTCAACAACACAACAACAATACTCTGGGTGTCAACAACACAACAACAACAGTCTGGGTGTCAACAACACAACAACAACAGTCTGGGTGTCAACAACACAACAACAACAGTCTGGGTGTCAACAACACAACAACAACAGTCTGGGTGTCAGCAACACAACAACAACAGTCTGGGTGTCAGCAACACAACAACAACAGTCTGGGTGTCAGCAACACAACAACAACAGTCTGGGTGTCAGCAACACAACAACAATAGTCTGGGTGTCAGCAACACAACAACAACAGTCTGGGCGTGTGTGAGAAATTCTGACTCCAAAATAATGATAAAAATCTAATGTATAATTCGAAGGACAACCTTTAATAAAAGGAAACAAATTGGGGGAACCAGTGCCTATGGGTATCTTAGATGAGTATAAATGAAATCTATTAATATATAATAAATGAACTGTAGTTACTATTACTTGTAAAGCCAAATCTCTCCACAGAATTTGGGATTTTAATAAGTAAATAGAATTTAAAGTATTTCAGTTAATAAACTAATGAAATACTAATATGCATTAATTCAAATATTCACATATATAAATGATATGCAAGAATATGATATTCAGAACTAATATTACAATCTATCTACGAAAACTACAAAGACAGCTTAGCTGTAGGCAGAAATAGTAGTAATCATTCGTGAACTCATATAATCGTCGCCTGAAACGTGTTTCATCAGGCTACTCTGGGAACACGTGAGCGTCGAGGAAGTTATCGTCTCGCTTGAGTTTGTACTCCAGCTGAAAGACGATTCACATATAAAATCTATTGGAGAATATATTATTCCTCAAGTATTCATAGAAATTAATGTGAATAGCTAAGGGGAAGGAAACTTACGGGTTTGGTATAGAGGGCGCGCATCATACCGACTTACTGTCTTATCTAAAATATTTAATGTAGTTACAAAAACCTAGACAAGAACAAACTAATGTGCAGGACGCGGTTTCTGTGACGTAATGAAGCTGTTGCGTCTTGTTGGGGTCTGTAAGTGCACGGATGGCTCTCTATGAAGACGATTGTGTAGTCTGCTTCCAGATACTCTCCTTAAATATGGCGTCGCTTGCCAATCTCTCTCCTCCCTCTCCCCGGGGTAGCTCGCGCATGTGCAGTCGAGCTACGACGCGTTGAATATTTTCTATGCTTTATTTAATTTCCCGTGTTGATGAAAATAAGATGTATCAGAAACTATAGAGAATTAATTGGTCTTATATGACAATATTTAAAATATCGACGTTTCGGTCTGTACTGGACCATTCTCAACCGACTTGAGAATGGCCCAGGACGGACCGAAACGTCGTCGTCCCTTCACTTTCTAATTTGTGGTCTGGTCAACATTTAAATTATCGTTTCTTAATAATTAGATATACACTATGAGATAGAAGAGTGCTGGATAGAAATTTTAGTCATCTGTGAATGTGCTGGAGTAACAATTCGTAATTTTGTGAATTATTACCAGCTAATAAACAATATTGTTAACTCGAATATAAACATATTATCAGCTTGAATTCACTTAGTATATTCGTGCAATAGGGTTATTAAATAATAATTCACATTAAAGAATGTGAAATAGGGAGAACTTAATACAATTCTCGTGAATGTAAATATTTTCCCTTTCATCATGTGTGCTGATGCAACACCTGACTAGAATTTCTGGGAAATAAGACGATATTACGCCTTATTAAGTTAAACTCAATATTACTAAGCGATCTGTTAGTAAATATTATTGACCAGTATAAGAATAGTTTCTTAAGGTACTTCTTTTGTTAGTAATAAGTTTTTTCTACAAAATTTCCAACAGGGTTTCAGCAACAACAACAATAATATGAGTGTCAGCAACACAACAACAATAGTCTGGGTGTCAGCAACACAACAACAATAGTCTGGGTGTCAGCAACACAACAATAGTCTGGGTGTCAGCAACAACAACAATAATCTGGGTGTCAGCAACAACAACAATAATATGAGTGTCAGCAACACAACAACAATAGTCTGGGTGTCAGCAACACAACAACAACAGTCTGGGTGTCAGCAACACAACAACAATAGTCTGGGTGTCAGCAACACAACAACAATAGTCTGGGTGTCAGCAACACAACAACAATAGTCTGGGTGTCAGCAACACAACAACAATAGTCTGGGTGTCAGCAACACAACAACAATAGTCTGGGTGTCAGCAACACAACAACAATAGTCTGGGTGTCAGCAACACAACAACAATAGTCTGGGTGTCAGCAACACAACAACAACAGTCTGGGTGTCAGCAACACAACAATAGTCTGGGTGTCAGCAACACAACAACAACAGTCTGGGTGTCAGCAACAACAACAATAATCTGGGTGTCAGCAACACAACAACAATAGTCTGGGTGTCAGCAACACAACAACAACAGTCTGGGTGTCAGCAACACAACAACAATAGTCTGGGTGTCAGCAACACAACAACAATAGTCTGGGTGTCAGCAACACAACAACAATAGTCTGGGTGTCAGCAACACAACAACAATAGTCTGGGTGTCAGCAACACAACAACAATAGTCTGGGTGTCAGCAACACAACAACAATAGTCTGGGTGTCAGCAACACAACAACAATAGTCTGGGTGTCAGCAACACAACAACAATAGTCTGGGTGTCAGCAACACAACAACAATAGTCTGGGTGTCAGCAACACAACAACAATAGTCTGGGTGTCAGCAGTGTAAGACAAAGCAGACAACACTCACCTTGTTTGCAACATTTACAAGTTTTACAGGAGCTGCTGGTGTAAGTTTTGTACACAGATGAACACTTTTTATCTGGACTGACACACCGGCCGCCGTACCTCTTGCACGCCATCACAGTCTTCTTGCACCGGTCGTCCAGTGCCTGTCCTTCCCCGGAGCCTCCACCTTTGTCGCCGCTGTCCTTCTTACTCTTCCTGGAGGCTCCAGTCTTGTGGCCTCTGTCCTTCTTACTCTTCCTGGAGGCTCCAGTCTTGTGGCCTCTGTCCTTCTTACTCTTCCTGGAGGCTCCAGTCTTGTGGCCCTTGTCCTTCTTACTCTTCCTGGAGGCTCCAGTCTTGTGGCCCTTGTCCTTCTTACTCTTCCTGGAGGCTCCAGTCTTGTGGCCTCTGTCCTTCTTACTCTTCCTGGAGGCTCCAGTCTTGTGGCCTCTGTCCTTCTTACTCTTCCTGGAGGCTCCAGTCTTGTGGCCTCTGTCCTTCTTACTCTTCCTGGAGGCTCCAGTCTTGTGGCCTCTGTCCTTCTTACTCTTCCTGGAGGCTCCAGTCTTGTGGCCTCTGCCCTTCTTACTCTTCCTGGAGGCTCCAGTCTTGTGGCCTCTGTCCTTCTTACTCTTCCTGGAGGCTCCAGTCTTGTGGCCTCTGCCCTTCTTACTCTTCCTGGAGGCTCCAGTCTTGTGGCCCCTGTCCTTCTTACTCTTCCTGGAGGCTCCAGTCTTGTGGCCTCTGCCCTTCTTACTCTTCCTGGAGGCTCCAGTCTCGTGGCCTCTTGGCCTCTGCCCTTCTTACTCTTCCTGGAGGCTCCAGTCTTGTGGCCTCTGTCCTTCTTACTCTTCCTGGAGGCTCCAGTCTTATGGCCTCTGTCCTTCTTACTCTTCCTGGAGGCTCCAGTCTTGTGGCCTCTGTCCTTCTTACTCTTCCTGGAGGCTCCAGTCTTGTGGCCCCTGTCCTTCTTACTCTTCCTGGAGGCTCCAGTCTTGTGGCCTCTGACCTTCTTACTCTTCCTGGAGGCTCCAGTCTTGTGGCCTCTGTCCTTCTTACTCTTCCTGGAGGCTCCAGTCTTATGGCCTCTGTCCTTCTTACTCTTCCTGGAGGCTCCAGTCTTGTGGCCTCTGTCCTTCTTACTCTTACTGGAGGCTCCAGTCTTGTGGCCTCTGTCCTTCTTACTCTTCCTGGAGGCTCCAGTCTTGTGGCCTCTGTCCTTCTTACTCTTCCTGGAGGCTCCAGTCTTATGGCCTCTGTCCTTCTTACTCTTCCTGGAGGCTCCAGTCTTATGGCCTCTGTCCTTCTTACTCTTCCTGGAGGCTCCAGTCTTGTGGCCTCTGTCCTTCTTACTCTTCCTGGAGGCTCCAGTCTTGTGGCCTCTGACCTTCTTACTCTTCCTCATATTTGTATTACTCATATTTTTCTTCTTATTCCCTTTATTTTTTGTATTATCCTTATTTATTTTATTTACGTTAAATCTATTTTTCTTCACATTTATCTTGCTCTCCCTCGAGTATGTTTTTGTTTTCTTCCTCGAGGATGAACTTATTCTCTCAAGTTTTTGTTTCTGATTTTTAATTTTCTTGACTTTTCTCCTCTTTGGTTCGACTGTATTTTTGTTCTTCCTGTGTTTATTGTTGTTCTTTCCTCTGTGGTTCTTATTTCCTCCTCCGCCTCTCTTGCTCGTCATCACTTCTATATAATCTTTTATCTTTTTCTCTCGTTCGGGTTTGCCAATTTCTTCGTCATCTTTCCTCTTTCTTTGCGCTTTATCTATCTCCTTTCCTTTGTGGTTTGTGTTGGCTGTTATTGTCTTGTTTCTTGTGTTATTGTCTATTCTATTTCTTCTTTCCCTTTTTCTTTCACCTTTCCGGTTGTCTTTTCCGTTTGGACTCTTCTCTTTTCCTTGTGGTTTCCGTGTTCTCTTGCTGCCAGGCCCAGTTTGTCCATTGTTCTTGTCACTGTCTTTATTAAGGTCATTCTTACCCATTCCCGTAAGCGTCTTTTTGCCTCTTCCTCTTCGTTGTTTTGTCTTTGTCTTGTTGTCATTTGTCGTCATCTCTGGCGTGTTCTCCTCGTTCTTGTCACCTCTATGACGACTCTTGTTGTTGTGTTCGTCTCTTATCTCTTTCCTCCTCGTGTTCTTATTTCTCTGTTTACTCTTTATTGCGGCCTTGTCTTCTCTCTTGTTTCTCTTCTTATCACCACTTTTATTCTTTAATATTTTCTGGCTGCCATCGTCGCTTGCGGGTCCATTCTTACTCTCTCTGGTTATCCTTCCTGTTCTTGGAGGCTCAAGCGACCCCATACCTGTTATAAAAACATATATATATATTAGGAGGTATTTACTGTGCATATGTTCCTCTTACCTTATGTAAATCTCTCTAAACACATCTACTGTTCTTATGTTAAGGTCTAACAATTGTTAGTGCTCTATACAAGTGAGTACAGTTGTTGGAGTTGTTATAACTACCCAGGAGTGCTGCAATTAATTAATGCCGTTTACAATACAGCTGCAAATTGTTTCATTCAAAATGGGGTAATTCTGACAAGCCATAAATTTCTTTTTCCGTCGAGGTCACTAGAGATGGTCTTCCTCGGGCAAATTTATGTCAATGTTTGTAAAGAGGAAAAACAGGTATATTAGGCTATCAGTAAATTAACATAATACAATATTATGCATAAAAAATAATCCGATGTGTAATACTTTTATCATAGAATTTTAAAGAATTACATTAGCAGACAAATAATTAATACTGTACGTCAGAACACCAGTAAAAACGTAAATATAGAATAATTAAGAATAAAATTAACTATTGGCAAGCTAGTGGTCAACCCGCCACACGTGACGTCACCAGGCGCCGTCAGCCAGTCTTCCATCAACCTCCCAGATGGACGGACGGACGCTCCAACTCAACCTCTTGTTTCCCACCAGCATCTACGACCTCTGAAGACTTTCGTATGTCGTTCCGATGTGTTGTTGTAGTTGGTGGTTTACTATGAGCTTACGTTCACAGAACACCTTGGCTTCCCCAATATTAATCTCGTATACACAAGCGAGAGAAATCGTGAATCAACCTGGCCGCACTTCCTGTCTAATTACCAACAAAGTATCGGCACCAGCCGTCATGTTAGTAGCACTCAGCCTCGGTATTGAGGCTGAAGGTAGAAGTTTACATCGCGGAAAATATTGTCGAGACGTGCCTCAAATTGCCCAACGACTCCACTCCAGTTGCCAGTTAAGTAATGACTTGTCTTTATGCATGTAGTAGATGGATCAATTGGTTGGTGTGTAAATACACAAGCTTACTTGCAAGCTACTTATGAAGCCTACCAAGCAACAAACTAGGCCAGACACCTTCAACTCTTTGTCTAGATTACTTGAAATCAATGTCACCCTCTTTCATAATAAATCTTGATTTAAAAACCCATCATCTGTGGAAATACTCTGTGAATAACTTTGCTTAAATTTAATAAATTTACATGTGGGGACGTCATAAAGGAACAATAGTCCCCGGATATCGCCTGTAGCCTTGTTACTCTACAAAGAACAGTGTTCCTTAGGGCAATTACCTGGATAGAGTAAGATACTTTAAATATGAGATTTAAAGTAAGATTACCTCCAGAACGATAGACCACTGTAAATTCTTCGCGCTAATAGTTCTTGAAGCGAATGAACTTGTTCACACAGCCGTGCTCAATTGATGGGTCTCATGTTGTACCATAGATGAGTATGAATTATATGTAGTAAGTCTCCCCACAGGATAAAGCAGTGGTATTAAAATATGAACAGCCATTTATTCTCATGCAGAGGTAATATCACAGATTTCCCACAGAACATATCTTGACTATCTGGAGCCGACAGGGCTCAACATTTGGCTGTACTTTCGAAGTATAGAAAGTATATACATACCGGGGCTCACATTAAGGCTGTTGTTACAATGTTTGATCAGAGCAGACTCGATCACGTTTCGTTCAACAAAATCCTTACTTTTAACAATACATTTTGCCCATGTGAAGTCGACAGAATGATTACATAAACTGGAATGTAAATACAATGCACTGGAGTGCTGGGCTGTACGAATAGGATATGAATGCTGTTTTAAACGCGAGGAAAGAGATTTACCTGTCTGGCCGATGTAAACACATGCACACTCATTACAAGGGATGGAATACACACAACCTGCTACCGACGAGGGCGAGTTCTTAATTATGGACTTAACTGTATTATCATTTTTGAACACTAGATTATTTCATGTTCGGTGACAGCAGTTCGGTGACAATTGCGCACTCTCAAAAGTAACATGTCCCCTTGGCCTTCCTCCTACCTCTGTAATAGATGATGGGAAATGTCTTTGGCTATGTTATGTATTGGCCGTGCAGGCTTAACTCATGGACATTAAACAGATCACCGCTCTGCACATTATGGTCCAAACTGCGTTGTCCCAATTAGTCTACTTAGTCGTTTGCCTCCTTGTGGAATGTCCCGATTTTCATGACGATCGTATGTCCCTCGACAAATTCATTGGCGAGTCTCATACCTTTGATATCGCCCGCATTGTGTTTTTGTTCTCATATTGGCATCCCAAGTGAGAAATAACGCCTTTTGAATATCCAGCGACACTGATGGCGCTACATAGTCTCCCGGCTTGGTGCTTTTTGATAATTACTGAGGTAGATAATAAGAGGTACACTTAGATAAATAATTATATTTAGTGAGGTAGATAATAGGGGTATAATTACTGAGATAGATAACAGGGGTATAATTACTGAGGTAGAAAATTGGGTATAATTACTGAGGTAGATAATGGGGGTATAATTACTGAGGTAAACAACAGGGGTATACTTACTGAGGCAGCAGCGGGCACCGTTGGGGCAATCATTGTAGTCAGTGTGGGAGGTGAGACAGTCGGCTGGACCCCGCACACACACTCCCCCACCCGTGCCGCACCTCTCACCCGCACCTTCTGTCTGGAGCACCTGTGGGAGGTGAGACAGTTAGCTGGACCCCACACACACTCACCCACCTGTGCTGCTCCTCTCGCCCGCACCTCCAGTCTGGAGCTGCTGTGGGAGGCGAGGCAATCAGCCGGACCCTCCGCATATACACTCCACCGGAGTAGTGCATGTGATCCTATAGAACGGTCGTTTTCGGTCTGGCGACAGTCAGTCTACAGGGTCATTTTTTATCTTTTTTTGCTGGCGGTCTACACCAAAATATGTGCCGTTTTTATTTGGGTATAATTTGTTTAATTTTTTATGGGGTGGTAGATGCCAAAAATCTATGGTGACGTTGATTTGGCGACGACAGCCCTATAGAGAGCATAATTTTTTTACGGAGCTATTTTTGGCGGCAGTTACTGAAAAACTGTGGGGATTTTTTTTTATTTTGGCGACTGCCAGTCTGGAATAGGTAATCCTGCTTGAAGCCGCATGACCTGGGGGAAAATCGTGGCAGTCAGTGGGTTTGTCTGAAGAACCTGTAAATGGGCAAGGGCAGACACTGGGCTGGGATAGGAAAACACAAATGGTCGGTTTCGGCCTTCATTCGGTTTGGTCACTATCGTCTGCAGGTTTCTTCGAGTCCTCTCTGCTGGTAGATCTTGATTGCACAACACTTAGAGGTTTCCTTGATTTACACCGACTGCTGGTATTGGCAGTCACTGGCTAGCTCTACCAGGAGGTAATCCCAGGAGGCAGTGAGACTTGTATTCGGAGACAGTACTGTTTCGTGGGGCTCGTGGGAGCCACCACTCATCAATCCAAAAAGACTCCACCGAATTTAGGTCTTTTACTGATCTCTGACAATATTTGGGTCTAAAATAATCTGTCTCTTTTCGGTCTTATATGGTCTTTGAAATTATTTGGTCTAAAACGGTCTCTGTCATATTTGGGTCTAAAATAATTTGTCAAATTTCTGTAAATTTCGGTCTTCAAATGGCCTCTGTCATATTTTTGGTCATAAATGGACTCTGAAGAAAATCGGTCTTCAAATGGTCTCTGAATAATTTTCGGCGTTTAAACTGGTCTCTGTTGATTTTTGGTCTTTACAGATGAAACAGCCGTAAATGGATATACAAACTAAAAGTCATGGCTAAGATGCCTATTTTCCTTAACAAAACTTCTATGAACATATTCTCTAAAATGGTCCTTTTTTTCCCAAATTTCGGTCATAAACTTGTAAATAAACTTCTATGATTACATGAACTCTGAAATATTTTCATAAAACTGATATCTGAAAAATTTTGAATTTCTCCTATAAGAACTCTTAACAAACTTCTACGATCTCGGAAATTATTTTCCCTATAAGAAACCTTTATCTCCAAATCGGTCTCTTTCGCCTCGAATTTTCCCCATAAGAAACCTTTAACTCCAAATCGGCCCCTTTTCTAAAAAACAAAAAGGAGCCCATACGGCTTTGCGGTGTGGGGCCTAACTCAAAATATTCATTAACCGTGGGGACCCATGTGAACTCTCACTCTGGTTACTTACAGAGGAAACCAGACTGAGGCAGCACAACAAACTGTGATACAGTGTCACAAGTGTCCAGTGCTAACACAGTGTGCACACACCAGTGCCCCCACACAGTACCTAAGGGAGTACACAGTACCACAGTAGGGAGTACCTAAGCAATAGGAAGCAGAGAGTTACGGTGAGGGGTGAGACCTTCGATTGGCGTGAAGTCACCAGTGGAGTCCCACAGGGCTCTGTACTCGGTCCTATCTTGTTTCTGATATATGTAAATGATCTCCCGGAGGGTATCGATTCATTTCTCTCAATGTTTGCGGACGATGCCAAAATTATGAGAAGGATTAAGACAGAAGAGGACTGTTTGAGGCTTCAAGAAGACCAAGACAAGCTGAAGGAATGGTCGAACAAATGGTTGTTACAGTTTAACCCAACCAATTGTAATGTAATGAAGATAGGTGTAGGGAGCAGGAGGCTAGATACAAGGTATCATCTGGGAGAGAAAATTCTTCAGGAGTCAGAGAAAGAAAAAGACTTGGGGGGGGTTGATATCATGCCAGACCTGTCTCCTGCAGCACATATCAAGAGGATAACATCAGCGGCATATGCCAGGCTGGTCAACATACGAACGGCATTCAGAAACTTGTGTAAAGAATCATTCAGAACTATGAATACCACATATGTCAGGCCAATCCTGGAGTATGCAGCCCCAGCATGGAGTCCATATCTAGTCAAGAATAAAACTAAACTGGAAAAGGTTCAAAGGTTTGCCACCTGACTAGTACCCGAGCTGAGAGGTATGAGCTACGAGGAGAGACTACGGGAATTAAACCTCACTTT